CTTAAAAATTTGGTGGTCTGCCACCAAAGGTGCCATGTTCTAAGTTTATTTAGATGTATATATCAGAAAATGAAAGCTGAAGTTCTGACCTATCATCTCATTCATCTTTTGATCTCAAACTCAAATGTCTTCAATGTATAATAAGACCAAAAAATTTGGCCTTGCCTTTTCAATGCTTTCAGAGGGGACTGTAAATCAACTTCATTGAAAACTACAATTGACTTTTATATATGGCTTTCACCTGTGAAATGTTGAAACAGCTCCCATTCTGAACATAAACCACCTCATCTGAACTGTCATCGAAGAGACTGTCAGTCTAAAGGAAAGAAATAAAAAAAATGAAGACTACGGAGCGTTCTAGTGTGAAGATAATAGATAATACAAAGGTATTAGAATTTCATAAATAAACAATACAGAAACCGGTGAGGGAAGCCACAACGGGCCAGCAGTCACTCTAAAGGAGTTACAGAGTACAGTGGCTAAGAGTAGAGTAAAGGTGCACCAGACAGCCTTTTCAAGAGCTCTGCATAATTAGGGACTGTATGGGATGCTCTGTATGCTCAAGAAGAGCAATGGTTTCGTGAAAGCAGGAGAGTGACCCAGTGAAGATATGTTTTTTTTTTTTTTTTTGGTGTGATGAGATCAAGATTGAGATACTGTATTTGGACATGTTTCAAAGCTGTATGTTTAGTGCAAACTTAACGCAGGCCATACCTGTTGGAGAATCTTCCCTATTTCCCAAATATAACCAGCAGACAATCTTAGAGATCAAAAGGAGAGAAGTTTATTCTTCCTCTGCAGAGGGAGCACACCTCAGCAATACAGCAGCAGTGCGTTATCACTTCAGCTATACCACAGAAGTGAGCCCCTGATCAGGGAGGAGTAGCTCTTTTATAGTGACTTGTAAACAACAGAACAATTTCTCATAGGTTACAAAATAATGAATATTCATAATTGTATAGAAAGGTACAAGTTTCTACATCGCTTTAGTAGGTAATAAAAGCTTCAGAAGGTGGATCCCTAAATCCTTAATCAACTAATCTGCACAAAAAACCTCACTGATAGAATCATCATAAAAAACAGTGATTAAAGTTATAACACAGATGCCAAATTCTCTGACAATACCTCAATTCATTTCTAATTTCATTCCTACAGTTCAAATATGGTGGTGGCAGCATCATGCTCTGGGGACGCAATTCATCCTCATAACCTGGGCTTCTTGTCAAAATTGGAAGAATAGTGGATAGACAATGGTCCCAAACGCAAGGACAAAGCACTGTAGGAGTGGTTAAAAAAAGGTGAATATTCTACAATATTCGTCAAATTATAGATCTAAATCCCACTGAGAATCTGTGGCACTGTTTGAAAATTGCAGTCAACAGACAACATCCAACATACCTGACGAACCTGAAGCAAATCTGCCAGGAAGAATGGGTGAAAGTCATTCCCAATCAGTGTGAAAAGCGTTTAAGGATTAATAAATTTTTTTTAAGGATCTGCTGACAAACGATGAATTTTTAACTTTGAAAAGTTACTTTCAGAGCATATTGGTTTGCAATAAAAATAAAAACAATCTCTGGAAGAGTCATTCTCTGAAATCCAGATAAATCTGATTACTTTTAAGAGGGCTGAATAATTTGCATGGCACTGTATTTGCACTCACGGAGCACTGTATTAGGAGCACTGTACTAATACTGCATAGGGCCACCCTTTGCTCTCAAAACAGCACAATTCTTTGTGGCATGGATTCATGTTGGAAACATTCCTTTGAGATTCCGGTCCATGTTGACCTGAATGCATCACGCAATTCCTACAGATTTTTCACATGCACTTTCATGCTGTGAATCTCTCTTTCTATCACATCCCAAAGGTGTTCTATTGGATTTAGCTCCGGTGACTTGGAAGGCCACTGAAGAACATTGAACTCATTGTCATGTTCATGAAACCAGTTTGAGATGACTTTTGCTTTGTGACATGGTGCATTATCATGCTGGAAGTAGCCTTTAGAAGATGGGTAAATTGTGGCCATGAATGCACATGGTCAGTAACAATACTCAAATAGGCTGTGGCATACAAGTGATGATTGGTATTAACAGGCCCAAACTATGCCAAGAAAACATTCTTCCACCAGCCTGTGACACAAGGCAGGTGAGGCAGGCTTTTCTGCTCACCACAATTGTACACAGTGGCTATGTGAATTACGGTAGCCTTTCTGTCAGCTGGAGCCATTCTGGCCATTCTCTATTGACCTCTCTCATCAACAAGGTGTTTCCATCTGCAGAACTGCCACTCACTGGATGATTTTTCTTTATTGCACCATTCTGAGTAAACTCCAGAGACTGTTGTGTGTGAAAATTCCAGAAGATCAGCGGTTATAGCAATACACAAACCAGCCCCTCTGGCACCAACAATCATATTTTTTCCCCTTTCTTATAGTTGATGTGAACATTACCCGAAGCTGCTGTCCTATATCTGCATCATTTTATGCATTGCACAAGACTGGCTGATTAGATTATTGCATGAATGAGTAGGGCTTCCTAATAAAGTGTTCATTGAGTGTATATTTAATAACACTTGACTTACTCTTTATAATTAATATACGATCTTCGTTCATCTGTGTTAGTCTATTTTCACTTTGGTTAATGGTTTCCTACATCACAATGCTGTTTGACTACCTACTGAGAATGCCACCAGTGGGATTTAGACCTTGCTTCCCCTCTACTTGAAGGGAGCAATTCAACAAACCTTTAGTCCTATATACTCTCCTCAAATAGTTAGGGCTCCAAAGCACCAAATGTTTATGATTAATACCACTGTCAATAACACCACACATTTTATCTCATAGATAGCTAACTAGCCAAGTCTATTCTCTCATTATATACCTGCATTGTATTCTGTAATGTTGACTCCAATAATTTTTGCGTTGGATTATTTGGATTGCTATGACACTGAATACTGGACAGTGGTGAATGAGAAAAGAAGCTCTTGCTCTTTTGTTTTTAGAAGCTAACAATGAAACCTGACTATTATCCCTTATGTTTGAGATTGAGATTTCTCCTATTAAAAGTCATTGTAACTTTGATAGCAATGGGCATGATTTATCAAGCCGGATACAGATAGATTTATTTGTAAATCATTCCTACAAGCGTTTACACAAGACATTTAGTATTCGTGAAAATCCAATAATTTCAGAAAAACATTCTTACTCATGCTCCTGAGTGTATAAATTTACACATAAGAAGACTAACTAATGTAAATCTCAACTTGATTATCTTCAAATCATATGATTTGCAAGGATTACTGTACTTTCTTTTTGGAATATACTATCATGGCTTTTTTTTATTATTATTACATTTACAGCATTTAGCAGACACCCTTATCCACAGTGACTTATAGAAGTGCTTTGAAGTCTCTGTGAAAAACACATTCTCAAGCGTGTTCACTAGGTCAGGGACTAAAAGTACCATCAAGAAGAGTTTATGTTATTGAAATTTTTTTTCATATTATTGGAATTAATTAAAGAATATGAAGAATAAAGAAACACAAACCCATACATTAAGACAAATAAAATTAATTCAGTTATTGCAAAAAATGCCTCTGCTGACAGAAGATTTGGTGCTCACTGTGCTTATGAGAGAATGGATATTTAAAGACCGGCATCTTCTTTTAATGCTGTGCAACACTTAAAATTTGAAAGTAACAGTTTACATAAAAATGGATTTAAAAAAGAACAATTTAAAAATAACAGTTTTCCCTGTGTGACCTTCCTGGTGTCCATTATCTCCTGGGTATGGTGGAGATACTTTTTTCTCCTCCATTTTCATGTCTCACAATTTTTTTTCACCTCACTTAATTTTATCCTTTTCATAGGCTGTTACACTGTTACATACACAGTCAATCCTTCTCACTGTAGAATGGCGAATTTAAAATTGTTTGGAGATGGCTTTATAACCGTTCCCAGATTGATGAGCAGCAACAGTTGTTTCTCTGAGGTCATGGCTGATGTCCTTTCTTCTTGGCATGGTGTACACACACCTGAGTGCTCCAGAACACCAAACTGCCAAAAGGTCTGCTTTTATACAGGTAGTCACAGTTCTTGATGATTTACTGATCTTGTGCATTTCATTAGTAACATCTTGCTGCTAATTAACCTCTTACTTCTTCTTGTGGAATTAGGAAGGGTGTACTTTTCTCAACTAGTTTCTGACTGTTGGTTTACTTTTTGGGAAAAATGACTACATATTGAAATCTGTTGTGTTTTTTTTGTTGTCACCTGAGGTTATTTGTTAGTTTATAGAAATTGAGGAGCACCACATAATTGTTATTTAGCCCCTGATAAATAAAAACATAGAATTAAAGGCGTACTTTCTTTTTCCCATGACAGTATATTTTATTGGCATAGATGCAAGTCTAAATAACTTTCACTTCTACGTCTGGGAAAGTCTTTTTTGCCATCTACTCATTATTTCAGCGCAATGAACTTTGCCTTTAATTTAAGTTTTGTGGGTTCACCAAATGAAAATCAGCTGTGCTGTGCACATGCCCAGTAATTTACAGGGTATTATCATTCAACATACGTACACAAGTACAAAGAAAGGCACTATTTCCAAAACTTTTGTAAATCCACCAGAAATTTTTCGGTTTGGCTTACCATATTGGCAAATATTTACACACAACTTTACCAAATTGATAAATGAGGCCCAGTGTCACCATGATGGACAAGAGCTGCTAACTTTTCATGATAATAATGAATATACAACCCCAGCCAACAAAGTGGCACCAGAGTCACTAAGTACCTCACAAATATTTCCTATTTTTTCCTTGCAGTACAGTATTATAGTTGCTGTTCTTTCAGCTGCTCGCATTAAGGGTCATCACAGCAGGTCATTGGCCCGCATATTTGAGTTGGCACAGTTTTTATGCCGGATGCCCTTCCTGACACAAGACTCCCCAATTTTATCTGGGCTTGGGACAGGCACTAGGAGTGCACTGTCGTGTGGTTCCCTGGCCGTGAATTGAACCCGGGTCACGGTGGTGAGAGTGCCAAGGCCTAACCACTAGTCCTCCAGATACCCATAAGGACAGGATTATAGTAATAAATATTTATACGAGAGTCCAGCTAGATATAAAGTCAAACAGGATTGTTCCTATTCCTTCAGGAAGTTTTATGAATATATTGGTGTTGGATTTCACAATATGTTGTTGCATTATATAAAGATTTAATTGCTGCCCATTGTCTGAGAAATCCAGCTGGTGAAAACATAAACCTGGTGGCAGAGTGAGAAGATGTTTCAAGATTATTCATGTAACAAAAATATTTGTTGTACATTCTGTAGATTATATCAGATCACATTGCAACAGATAGCACTTGATTTTACCTTGACATAGACACCAAGGCAATTCTTAGCACAGTCATAGTCCCAAGACACATTACCCTGCAGCTCACCATTGCACACCAGAGAGCCACCAGAGTCACCCTGAATCAAAGAGTGATAGTTTAATTGCTTATAAGGCCTTTAAAGAGAAATCATTATAATACTGTAGTATCTCATTTTACCCGGCAGTCCCTTCCTCCTTCCAGGAAACCAGCACAGAACATGGTATTAGTGATGATACCAGCGTAGCAATTACAATCCCAGTCAGAGAGAATAGGGACCTCCAGACACTGCAGCTTGTTGCGATCAGCAGCTACACAGAGATGACACAAATGAGGCAATATTAGAAAAGATCAGTATAACAGCACTATCATACTATATATACTGTAATCTGATACACAAATAAGATGCAGTTAGGAAAGAAGTATTGAAAATTTGCCTTCAGAGCAATGAAAACTAGCCACCGGTCAGTGGCTCTTGTAATACTTCCAAACATCGTTAATGCATTCCAAACATTAATACATTTTAGGTAAAAAAAAAACAAAAAAAACTCCCACTTCTTTTACCTTTAATTTGTGGTTTAACATCTACATATGTCTGTGTTTTTCACAAACAAATAAATTGCCCAAGGTTACTGAACTGATACTGTACTCACTGGTGCTCAAGGTCTTTCCCCATCCAGAGACTGTGCACCAGGTTCCTGCAGAGGGGCAGCTCTTAGGCAGTGCAACAGGCTGCACATTGTTGTTCAGCATAGCAGGTTGACTCAGCTTGATGAGCATGATGTCATTGTCAATGGTCCAGGAGTCATAGTTGGGATGGCGGAGGACACGGGAAGAGGAGATGAACTGCTCAGTACCCTCATTAATCTGGATGTTGTGCTCACCCAAGCGAACCTCCACACGCCTACAGATGGGATGGAAATGGTTCTAAGTTTAAAAGGTATATTATCCATAATGACTATTAGTCATAAGATAAATTACTTACGATTTGTAGCAGTGAGCAGCAGACACAACCCAGTTCTCACTGATCAGAGAACCACTACAGAAATGATAGCCAGCATTCAGAGACACTTGCCAGGGCTGGGAGTAGGGTGTGCACTCCTCATACCCTCCAACAATCTTGTTATCCTCCAGAGCACTTGGAAATAGGATATATGCTTGTATATCAGAATATATTAAGTATTGTTTTCTGTCCGATAATACAGCCGAGTAGTCTGTAAAAGAGGTTTATACTTACAAGCTCCCACAAACAAATGCAGGACCAGAGATTTCATGATGGCTGTTGATCACCTACGATTCAGATCTCACGTCACACTCCTATTTATTTGATCCAGCAGTCCCATATGGACTATTTCCACAGTTGGTCCCAAAATATAATCTAAAGTCTGTTAAGTGACTCTGTAAATGATTGACTTGCTTTATGCCAAAAATAACTGGGAAGCAACACTGAGTAATTTTCAGGGTTTTTTAACCTCTCCCTCAACCAGCATGTTGTCCCTACATGTTTTAAGTCCTCCACCATTATTCCTGTCCACCATTATACTTAACCCTAACCCTGACCCTAACCTAACCCCCTGTCCTGCCTCCCTGAATGACTGCCATCCTGTAGCACCCACTTCTATAGTGATGAAGTGCTTTAAAAAACTGGTCAGAGACTACATCTGCTCCTCCTTCCCCCGCTGCCTAGACCCATTACAGTTTGCATACCGGTCCAACAGGTCCACAGATGATGCCATGCCCTACAGATCAGGCATACCCTACTCACTGCCCTCTCCCTTCTGGACCAGAGGAAAGGAAACTACGTGCGGATGCTGTTTGTGGATTACAGCTCCGCCTTTAACACCATCGTCCCCTCACACCTCAGCAAAAGCCTCATAACTAACAAAGACAAGCAGGCCTACTTAGAGGAAGTGGATATCCTCTCCACAGTGGATATCTCCTTGAATGTCACCAAGATTAAGAAGATGATTATTGATTATGGGAAGAAGCAGGTGAGGAACTACAGCTCCCTGATGATCAATGAGGCCACAGTCAAGAGGGTGTGCAGCTTCAAATACCTTGTGGTCCACCTCTCGTGGACAACGCCCACAAACAGCTTGGTGACAAGGGTGCAGCAGCGTCTCGACCATGTACGATGCCTGGCCAGGTTCAGGGTCTCCCAAAGGGTGCTGAAGGCTTTCTACACTAGGGCTGTGGAGAGTCTTCTCCCCGGGAGCATCACGGAGCATGGTTCGGAGGCACCACGGCCAAGGACCAGAAGATGCTGTCCAGAGTGGTGAGGACAGTGGAAAAGGCCATCAGGACATCTCTCCCCTGCATCACAAGCATCTACAACCAGCGATGCAAGACCAGGGGCAGGAGTATTGTTGACTTTGACCACCCTGGACACAGTATCCTCTCAGTGCTTCCATCAGGGAAGCCCTACCGGATGCTGAGGACCAACACAGAGAGACTCAAGAGGAGTTTCTTCCCTCAGGCAATCCGGCTAATGAGTGAGGACGCTTGAAAGCATCTGCATATTCCTACCTGACACACAGACACACATACACAAACAGTTTGCACTATAGAAAAAAAATTGCACACTGTATAGTATCTCTATACACTGTACAGCTCAGTATATTTGCTTTTTCAACATATTATATTTATATATTAAAATTCTATGTACATTACATTGCTCTATAGGCTGCAAAATTTTTATTATATAGTCTACTAGATTTTATTGTAGTCTGTTTTTATTAGGTGTATGTATATCTAGTTCATTGTTGCTCTGTGGAAAAAAAAACTTTTCACTACTTTACATCACGTATGTAATATGTATGTGACAAATAAAGAACCTTGAAACCTTGAAATCTTGAAAATCTAACAGGGATTTAAAAGTGAAGCCAGGATGTCTGAGACCCTTTATTGGCTGGCTTCAATACAATTTTATTCCATGTCCATTCCCATGTTGGTGAAAGGGGTCAAACTTACATTATAAGTTAGGTCTCCACAAATTGTTTTCAGGAATAGTATTCTGTATTTTTTTTTTTTACATAAGTTCAGTTGACCTTGATATCTACAATATTTCCTTACAGTAAATGTGTTTTATAAGAGTTATTTGATAAATAAAAGGGCATGGTTGATGACAGTTTAGGGTTGGGCTACAAATGACAGTCGAGCCTCAAACCCACATCCATGTTCCAACACAGACATGAAGCTCTTACTAAGATCACAGCCCAGTGAACTTCATATAATATCTTTAAAACTTTGTATTAAAAATGTAGTATTCACAGCTTTGAGATTCTATAGCAAAACCATGTCTTGTTCTGCTGTTAACTGTTGTGTCAGGGTCATGCCAAAAGGCCCAGAACTACAATACCCATCAGCCACTGTACAGCACATGACTGTGTCACGCACCATGAGAGATCAAGTGCACCTGAATCACATTGTGGTATAATGAGCGCTAGTATTTAAGTCCTGTCTTGTGTAGCACACTTTTGTCATTGCTGGCACTTATAGTTTTTATGGTTCTTACCTTGTATCTATAGTTCACGTTTATGGTTCTTGTGCTTACCCTTTTGTTCATTTTGTTTGTACTATTATCTGCACATGCATCTGTCTCCAACTACTAATATCTGACATGCTGTAACAGACCATCAGCAGGGTGTTTTTTTTTTTTTTTTGGTTACAGTTTTTCTGGTAGGTTGCAAAAGCTAGCTCATCATACTGGCATTATAGCTAGCAAACCAATGTGAGTGATAGCATAAACCAAGGCAGCTAATACTAGACAAATTTCCTAACAATTTATTATCGACAGTATGACATTGTGCTAACACTCAAAGTAGCTTGGTAAGGTTAGCCAGGCACTCCTTTTTAAACAAACTGTATATAAAAGATATAAATGTTGTGTTGAGTGTAAATGTTGACTGCTGTTGATCAGTATATTTTCAGTTGGTACATTACATTAACTCTCGATGTGTGCACTTTTTGCAATGTGCACAGAAATTTGGTATTTATGAAAATCCTGTAAATTCGAAAAGGAAAAAAAAAAGTTCATCCTAAGTATCCTATTCCTGCTCCTGAGTGTGTGTAAATTTGTGCAAAAACGACTAACTAATGTAAACTTATTTGCATGGATTACTGTAATTTTATATATGGGAATATACTTTTGAGTTTAAATTAATTTTTATTATGTGCTTTGGTGTCTCTATCAAAAACCCCATTCTCATGCTAGTTCACTAGGTAAGGTCCCCCACACCCACACTGTTACTCAACATTATTTTTTAAAGTAGTTCAAGTTTGCTGTTCTCTTCACTAATATAAATGGTTCATTTCACTAAGGCCAAGATGTAATTATTCCCACACAGTGCCATTAAATTTAGAATTGGGGTTCTTTTACTGGATATAGTAATTAATTCTGGTATTAATATAAAGATATTTTAACCTCAATGGAAAAACATTAAAACTAATTTATCTAATTAGTTTTTGAATGTTTTTGTTTTGCCTTTTAATCATTTATAATGTACAGTCCATAAATACAGGACTATTTTGTGAACAGCACAGTGTGTGGTGGTTAATTTATTTTCTGGGTGTTGGTGTGATCATCTATAATCTCTATAACTTGGAGTAAAATTTCCTGCTGGGAGCTTGTCTCTTAAAAGCTGAAGATTTCATATATATTCTCATGCCTCCAGACATGCTTAATAGGTATGGATA